CGCTCTCTCTCTCTCTCTCTCTCTCTCAAAAATAAATAAATAAATAAATATATATATTTTTAATTAGGATAGGGCACCTGGGTGGCTCAGTTGGTTAAGCGTCCAACTTCGGCTCAGGTCATGATCTCACGGTCTGTAAGTTCAAGCCCAGCGTTGGGCTCTGTGCTGACAGCTCAGAGCCTGGAGCCTGTTTCAGATTCTCTGTCTCCCTCTCTCTCTGACCCTCCCCTGTTCATGCTCTGTCTCTCTCTGTCTCAAAAATAAATAAACGTTATATTTTTAATTAGGATAAATTATTTTTTAAAAAAGTGTTACTCCAGCGAACACACAAATGATAAGAACACAGGACAGCCTTACTACGGACACAGAGAAAGTTTTAGTGCTCTGGACAGAAGCTCAAAGCAGTCACAACATTCCCTTAAGCCAAAGCCTAATCCAGAGCAAGGCCCTAACTCTCTCCCTTCTATGAAGGCCAGGGGAGGTGAGGAAGCTGCTGAACACAAGTTTGAAGTTAGCAGAGGTTGGCTCGTGACACTGAAGGAAAGAAGCCGTCTCCTAACAGCAAAGGACCAGGTGGGGCAGCAGGTGCTGATGCAGAAGCTGCAGCAAGTGCTCTGGTAGCCCTAGCGGAGACCGGAGATCGTTCGTGAAGGTGGTGACACTGAACCACGGATTTTCCAAATGCAGACCGAGCAGCCTTCGACTGCAAGATGGCCATCTAGCACTTTCATAGCTGGAAAAGTCAAGCTTGTTAGGGCCAAGGCTCACGTATCATTCTGAAAAGCCCTTAGGAATTCTACTCTGCCCGTGCTATAAATAGAACAGCAAAGTCTGGATGACAGCACATCTCTTTATAATATGGCTTACTGAATATTTTAAGCCCACTGTTGAGACGTAGTGCTTTCTTTTAAAATATCACTGCTTAGTGACAAAGCACCCGTGAGCTCTGATGGAGATGTACAATGAGCTAATGTCTCATGCCTGCTAACACAACATCCATTCTGTAGCCTATGGATCAAGGAATAATTTTGATATTCAAGCATTATTTTTAAGAAATACCATCCTGTAAAACCAGACAGAGCTGCCACAGTGATTTTTCTGATGGATCTGGGCACAGTAAATAGAAACCTTCTGGAAAGGATTCACCATGACTTTGAAGGGTTCAAGACTTCCTTGGAGAAAGTAACTGCAGATGTGGTGGGAATGACAACAGAACTGGAGGTGGGGCTAGAAGATATGAATGAATTGCTACAAGCTCATGATAAAACTTGAATGGAATGGATGAGGAGTTGCTTTATATGGATGAACAAAGAAAGCAGTTTACCGAGATGGAATCCAAAGTTTAGAAAATATAAAAACACTGTATTTAACTATCCTGGAATTAAAATTTTTAAAAATTCAAAACATGGCCACCTGGGTGGCTCAGGTGAGCATCCGACTCTTGATTTCAGCTCAGGTCATGAACTCACAGTTCATGGGCTCTGCACTGATAGAGCAGAGCCTACCTGGGATTCTTTCTCTCCCTCTCTCTGCCTTCCCCCACACATGCATTCATTCTCTCTCAAAATAAAATAAAATAAAATAAATTCAAACAGGGGCACCTGGGTGGCTCAGTCGGTTTAGCATCTGACTACAGCTCAGGTCATGATCTCACGGTTCGTGGGTTTGAGCCCCATGTCATGCTCTGTGCTGACAGCTCAGAGCCTGAAGCTTGCTTCCGATTCTGTGTCTCCCTCTCTCTCTCTGCCCCTCTCCTGTTCATGCTCTGTCTCTCTGTCTCTCACGGATAAACAAACATTAAAAATTTAAAAAAAAATCAAAGAGATGAAATCTACTCCTGGTGAAGATGTTAAGACTGTGGAAATTACAACAAAAAATTTAGAATATTACATACGCTTAGCTGATAAAGCAGCAAAAGGGTTTGAGAGGACTGACTCCAGTTCTGAAAGAAGTTCCACTGTGGGTAAAATGCTATTAAACAGTATCACATGCTATAGAGAAATCACTCATGAACAGAAGAGTGAACCAATGCAGCAAGCTTTGTTGTTGTCTTATTTTACGAAACTGCCACAGCCACTCACCTTACAAACCACCCTGGGCAGTCAGCAGCCATGAACATCAAGACAAGACCCTTCACCGACAAAAACATGACTGGCTGCAATTTCAGATGACAGCAGCGAACTATTTTTAAATCAGCTACATTGTTTTTGAGACATCATGCTATGACAGACTTAATAGACTACAATAATGCAAACATAACTTACGTGCACCAGGAAAACAAAAAATTCATCTGACTTGCTTTATTGTGATGTTTCTACACTGCAGTGGTCTGGAGCCAAACCAGCAATAGCTCCAAGGTATGCCTATAGAATGCCAGAAGCCGGGGTGTGGAGGACATGGGGAGATGTTGGTCAAATGGTACAAACATTCAGTAATAAGATGAAAAGTTCTGAAAATGTAACATACAGCATGGTGACTGCAGTTAATAACGATGCTGTATACTTGAAATTTACTGAAAGTACTAAAAGTAGATCTTAGGCATTCATACAAAAAAATAATGTAATAATTTTATAAGAATGGATATTTAATTAACTTCAATTGTGGAAATTATATCACAGTGTATACATATATCAAATCACTACAGTGTACACTTGAATATATATAAATTTGTATCTCCAGAAGGCTGGGGGGAAAAAGAAAATACACCTAAAGTACAAACCTTGCAGGAGTCTGTTGAAAAGTAGCCTGTGATTCAGCTAAGTAGTCTGACAATGTCTGCAAACCCAGCAGAAGGAGACAGGAAGACATGTCAGCTAAAAGAAGGGATCAAAACCTGGGAAACACGGGAGCCTGGCTGGCTCACTTAGTAGAGCATGCAATTCTTTTTTTTTTTTTTTCCCCCACGTTTATTTATTTTTGGGACAGAGAAAGACAGAGCATGAATGGGGGAGGGGCAGAGAGAGAGGGAGACACAGAATCGGAAACAGGCTCCAGGCTCTGAGCCATCAGCCCAGAGCCTGACGCGGGGCTAGAACTCACGGACCGCGAGATCATGACCTGGCTGAAGTCGGACGCTTAACCGACTGTGCCACCCAGGCGCCCCGAGCATGTAATTCTTGACCTCAGAATTCTAAGTTCAAGACCCGAGGCTGTAGAGCTAACTTTAAACAAACAAAACCCCTGGGATACAGAAGTGACATGGATCTGTACTCACTGACCCAAACGAAGAGAGCAAGCATGGTGGAATCCATTACGGTCACTAAAAATCGACTAACTTTGAATCCTTCCCTATGAGGGTTTTAGTATAGCAGGTACTGAGGCTGCAGGGGCGGGGAGAAGAGGGCAGTGCAAACAAACCAGCCCTATCGACATGGCAACTACCCAGAAAGCTGAGAACCCACAGTGCCCATGGTCCACATGTAAGAGAGACTGAGAAGGGATGGGTTGGGGGAGAACAGGACCTAGTTCAGGCCACTGGGGAGGGAGAGGGCCTTACCCAGTGAGGATATAAGTGCAAAGTTCTCCAGCATCACATCGTGGTACAGGCATCTCTGAGCCTCATCAAGGAGCCTCCACTCCTCCCAGGAGAAGTACACAGCAACATCCTCAAAGGACACACTATCCTGTTACGATGGGGACAGATGAAACCATGAACATTCTGAGATCCCACAATCCATCTCACCATACATCTACCCCACACTCCTCCTCCTCCAGAGCTCCCCACTCCAAGAATTCCAGGCCTAGGTGCCACTAGCACCGCCCCTCCCCCCCCCCCCCCCCCCCCATCCTCAGGGTCTCTTTATTCACTGAGTTCAGCCCTCAGCAACATCAGGCAGGGAGACAGAGATGTCATCCAAATTCATCCTGGCCTGTAGGGTCCCAACCATACAATTCCCTAGGGCCTCCATTTTGAGACTTCCAAGACACACTGAAATGTGGGCTCATGCTGTACCCTTCAGCCTCCAATACCAGGGCCCTGTGGCCCTGAGCACACACTTCCCCTTGATGTGCACACTGCTCTGCAGACTCTCCTCTCTCACATCTCCAGTCCCTACAGCTGCACTCCCACAAACTCTACTTTGGGCAAAGCCCTGAATTCTGCTTTGAAGTCCTCCTCTGTGCCTCTGATCTTTGCTTCAGTGTCAGCCGCCCAGAAGCACATATGCATTAGATGGCTATGGCCCACTTCCACTTCTGTGCTGGACCTGCTGTCGTCTCAGTGGTCACAACTCCCCACCTCTCCACTCAACCTTCCTTAAAACCCCAGCCAGGCATGATGACTCTCACAAAGGACTACATTTACCGGATCTTATCCACCAGCAAGACCCGAACACCCCAGACCCCATCAAAGCACCCCCCAAATTCTGGTGAATCCATACAATGGTGAATTAGCAGGAGCCCTACCTTCAGTGTCATCTTGCCTCAATTACTCCTCCGAAGCCATCTTGCAGCCACTTGTGCCATGGAAGCTTTAGCCTCCCTGATCATCCTCTCTCCCACACATTCACACCATCATTTCTCCCTGTCGCCTGTGTTTCTCATACTTAGGATGTCAACCAGGAGCTAAGCAAGAGAAGCACCTCTCAGCATGCACCCTAGTCTTTCTGACCAGCTAACAGCATTACCACTATAACCTACATTACACACTTGCTAAAGTGTGACCCACAGTTCCATCCTGGTCCGATAGCCACCGTTTTTGAAAGTCTGCCCCAGAACTATGCACCATCAAGACTGAACACCACAAACCCCACCGAAGCTCACCACAAAATTCCCGTGAAACTGCAATAGTGAGTAAGCAGGAGCCTGGCCTCAGTGTCCTCGTCTCAATTACTCCCGTGCCTCCACGGCCTCCACTCCACAGGAGCCTTCTTCACCTGCCAGATCATCCTCTCTCCCATGTGTTCCCCACCATCACGTCTCTGCTTCACCCGTGTTTGTGTGCCCAGCAACCCTGATCAGGTGCACAGCAAGAAAATCACTCCTCATCATGCACCTCCCTCTATTTGGCCAGCTAAGGCACTGTCACAATGACCTGCATTCCCCAACCTAAACATAGTCCACAGCTCCTCTCTGGTCTACACAACAGCCACCACTTCGGGATGTCTTCATCCTGTACCTCCTCCCCAAATCTCCAGACCGGCAAATCCAGCTACTCACTTGCTGTCTCCACGAGCTGTGCCCTGAAATATCCCCTAACAGGACTCGTAACAGGACCAAACGAAACTCCTGGCAGTCCCAAAGAAAATTAACCTACCGTCAACCTCCCCACCCCAGGTGATGAAACTTCCATCCCTTCAGCTGCTAGGACCAAAATCCCTGGGGTCATCCCTGACTTTTTTCTCTCCCTCACCTACAACATCAAAAAATCTACTTTACCCTTCTTTTAAAAATGGAAGAGTCCAACTTTTCACCTACCCCTATGGCCATTGCTTTGGTTCATCAGCACTCATTTGGATTGCAGCAGCTGCCTCCTCCCGGGCTCCCTGCCTCCTCCCCTACCCCCAAGGTCTGTTATCTTTTCTACAACCGGAAAGAGCCCATTAAGACTTCGGTAAGACCAGCCCCTCCCCCTCTTATCCAAGCCTCTCATTGCCTCCAAAAGAGGTGCCCAAATTCTCAACAGCCACATTACAGGCCTGATCCTTGACCCTCTGCTTTGTTCCCGACAGGGAGAATGGACGCAGGTCGTACCTGTCCAAGCACTTGCACACTCTGATATCTATTTCTGGGATAGCTTCTCACACCTGTTTATATGTAACCCTTGGCCTGCACTCAGGAGCCTCGTTTTGGGGTATCCTCAGGGACCCCACACCCAGCCGTTGGAAAAACAGCAAGGGAAGGGGCTCAAGACACCACAATCCTGGACACCGTACTGGCGATGTCAAGATCAGTGAGGGACTTGCGCAGGTGCCATATGAGCTTTCACAACCTTCAGAACTTGTGGTTGAGTGAAGGCAACCAGGGCTGGGCTCTACCAGGTCAGGCCTCCCCTGCACCCCGCCCGGCCCTGGAACCCAGGGACCTCGGGATGACCAACCTCGGCGCCTCAGTCCTCCTACCAGCTCTGTGACCTTCGACAAGAACTGCACTCCCGGGGCCTCCTTGTCTTCATCACCCCCTTTCACCTCTCTCTTGAGAAGCTTTCGGAAAGCTATTCACACCCAAACACGGACCGTGTCCCTCTTCGGTTCACGACCCTCCAGCGCCCTCAGAACGGAGGTACCACACCCCAGCTCGCCAGTCCCCCCGTGATCCCGCCGCACACCCTGTGTCCCTGAGGGCAGACCCCACACCCCCGAATCCTCCCCCTCGGCGCCCCCTGCAGCCCGCTCCCGCACCCCATCACGCCGGCGCTCAGACACGGGGCCCCGCCCACGAGGGCCTCCCCGGCCCGGACACCGGACCTGGGCCGCAGGGACGCGAGCAGGTGCCCCGCGCTCGGGCCTCGGGAGTCTGGGTGGGGGAGGGTCCGGGGGCGTCGCGTTTACCTGAGCCGGGTGCCTGCGCGCGGCCGCCGCCATCGGACTCTGTGGGCGGAGCGGGGCCCAGAGCGGCGAAAGAGGAGCAGACACCCGCCGCGGGACAGCTCGAGCGGCGTCGTCGCCGAGCCGCGGACCCGCCTCTCCGCCGTGGGGACAACGACTCCTGAGCCTTGACAGTTCCGTCACTTCGGTCCCGCCCCGGCACGCCCGAGAGCAGCAAAATGGCCGCCACAAGGAGGAGGCCGGAAGTCCCGCCCCTACGGGATGAATTCCCGCGGAAACGCTTCCATTGGCTCAATTCCGCGCACGGTCTTCTGGAAAATGTAGTTGGCGGATCCCTAGAGGCAGCAGCCAGGGTTTTCTCCATTCTGATCTGAGCATTGGCCAGGCTGCTCTCCAAGGGATGCTGGAAACCTAGAGGGAGAAGGAGTTTGCTCCTTGTGAACTGCGATGAACAGGCATAATTTCATACTCTGTGATTGCCAGCCTCTTCCCAGAAATGAGATGTTCCCAAATCCAGTGATCTAAATGGTCCTATCATTCCATAGAACCATTCAGACATAAAATAATCCACGCATAGCTGAAGGCAGTATGTTACTCCTCTTCAAATGAATGTAGCTGATGCTTTTGTCATCACTTTGTGAGTTCTATTATGATTGACTAAGAGCAAGGGAAAAAACTTTACACAGGGCCGTGACTGGGACTAAAGAGAGATGTTAGGCCAGAATAAACAGGATCTCTGCCTCTGGCTCCCACAGAAAATTTGTTCCTTGCCTGTAAGGTCAGTGATTGTGTCCTGCCCATTTTTAACTACCTAGTATTCTTACTCAGTGTTCTAAGATACACTCAATTCTATTTTGCAAAGTGACATCTACCTCAAACAAAGACCAACCTTAGTGCTATTTTAGTTTGGGTCAGTGGCTACAACTTTAACAGTTGCAGAATGTCTGATGCAGAGTATCTGAACCTCCAGATAAAGGGTGTAATTGACCCCCATGATGTCATGTCCTGACTGGTAAGTGACTATGATACTCCAGTGATTGCAGGTACAGTTGTGCATGGGGAACTGAGATTATTTCAGAAGAGTAGTTTGGAAATGCAAATTCAGAAAATTAGTAATAATGTTTTTGTTCTTTTTTTTTTTTTTTAAGGTTCTCTTTTAAGTAATCTCCATATACAACTTGGGGCTCAAACTCACAGCCCTGAGATCAAGAGTCACATGCTCTTCTGACTGAGCCAGCCAGGTGCCCCAGGAATAATGTTTTTGCAGTTTAGAGATAGTGTTAGAAATAGCTCTGGGAAAATACCAGGGGATGCTGAAGAAAGTTAAGATGTTAGAGAATTTTTAGCAGAGCTATTTTTCTTGAAAATATTAAGCAATACCACCTTGGAGGGAAGAAAAGAAGTGAACATTTATAGTAGCCAGATTACTAAAAATGGGCAAGAAACTGAGGTGTTCTGTTTATTCACAGCTCTACCGCTGTACACTGAGCAAATACTCAGTTGCAGGCACTTAGGCACTTTTGTAATGTGAATGGAAACATTAGGGGATGCATGGGTGGCTCAGTCAGTTAAGCGTCAGACTCTTGATTTTGGCTTAGGTCATGATCTCATCATTTGCAAGTTCAAGCCTCACTTTGGACTCTCTGCTGTTAGTGCAGAGCCCGCTTCAGATCTTCTGTCCCCCACTCTCTCTCTGCCCTTCCCCCAGTTGCTTGTTCTCTCTCTGTCTCAAAAATAAACATTTTAAAAAAGGTTAAAAAAAAAGAAACATTAGAACACTGGAAAGACAAATACTCATGCAATTTACATTCTTCAGAGAACACAGGTAGGTAGCAATCCCTATCAAAATAATACCAGCATTCTTCACAGAGCTATAACAAGCAATCCTAAAATTGGTATGGAACCAGAAAAGATCCCGAATAGCCAAAGCAATCTTGAAAAAGAAAACCAAAGCTGGAGGCATCATAATCCCAGACTTCAAGATGTATTACAAAGCTGTAATAATCAAGACAGTATGGTACTGGCACAAGAACAGACACTCAGATCAATGGAACAGAATAGAGAACCCAGAAATGGACCCACAAACGTATGGCTAACTAATCTTTGACAACGCAGGAAAGAATATCCGATGGAATAAAGACAGTCTCTTCAGCAAGTGGTGCTGAGAAAACTGGACAGTGACATGCAGAAGAATGAACCTGGACCACTTTCTTACACCATATACAAAAATAAACTCAAAATGGATAAAAACCTAAATGTAAGACAGGAAGCCATCAAAATCCTTGAGGAGAAAGCAGGCAAAAACCTCTTTGACCTTGGCTGCAGCAACATTTTACTTAACACGTCTCCAGAAGCAAGGAAAACAAAAGCAAAAATGAACTACTGAGACCTCATCAATATAAAAAGCTTCTGCACAGCAAAGGAAACAATCAGCAAAACTAAAAGGCAACCAACAGAATGGAAGAAAATATGTGCAAACGACATATCAGATAAAGGGTTAGTATCCAAAATCTATAAAGAACTTATCAAACTCAACACCCAAAAAACAAATAACCCAGTGAAGAAATGGGCAAAAGACATGAGTAGACACTTCTCCAAAGAAGACATCCAGGTGACTGACAGGTACATTAAAAAATGCTAAACATCACTCATCATCAGGGGAATACAAATCAAAACCACAATGAGATACCACCTCCCACCTCTCAGAATGGCTAACATTAACAACTCAAGCAACAACAGTGCATAAGAGACTAGAATGTGGATTCATTTCTGCTTGCTTATTGATCCTTATATTCCTTTATGCTGGCCTCAAATTTGTCCAGCCCATGCTGGCAGACATTCACAAGCCCTGTCAAGCCTCTCTGAAGCGGCTCAACAGCTGGAAAAGCACCTCAAGTCTGAATGCATAAATTAATTTTGCTCTCTGAAGGATGGGTTGTAGTGTAACCACAAAATTCCACTTCTGGGTTCTTCATGATCATGTAATGAAGAGCATTTCTTAGGGTATGGTCCTCCTCCTTGTGCAACAAAAATGTCACACGATTGTCACACATTTCCAGGGCTGTCTTCTTCTCACCTTCAGCCACTGAGGTTCAATCCAGGAATTTTTCCCTCCAGCTCCTGGTCCTCTTCTATCATGGGGGCGGCTTCCTGAAGCCTCAGGTGGTGTAGGAGGGTCGGAGGCTCTAAGGCATACCGCAAATGGTGAGGGCAAAGCAGGAAGGAAGGAACGACCTACGCAAGGAGCCAAGGACAGAGGCAAAAATGAATAAACATTTTAAAAATAGAAGAAGATTCTCTCTCTCCCTCTGCCCCTTCCCTGCTCTCTTTCTCTCTCAAAAAAAAAAATAAATAAATAAATAAAAAACTTAAGAAGCTGATTTAAATTGTTGTGGCATTTTTAGAATTATACCAGGTATGTCCCCAACTACATCTTTTGGGTGTGGAGCCTCGTTATTTATGTCTTTGGCAAAGAGAACACATGAAGTGAGAGCTGTGTTAGTCTGCTGGGGTGGCCACAACAAAACACCACAGACCGGGTGGCTTCAACAACAGAATGTTTTTCTCACAGTTCTGGATGCTGGGAGTGCAAGATGGACGGGCCAACAGGTTTGGTGATCTATAGTCTCTCTCCTTGGCTTGTGGATGGCTACCTTCTAGCTGTGTCCTAATGGGCCTTTTCCTCTTGGTGAGCAGTGTTGGTGTCTATTCTTCTTTTTTTTTTTTTTATTTTTATTTTTATTTTTTTTTTCAACGTTTATTTATTTTTGGGACAGAGAGATACAGAGCATGAACGGGCGAGGGGCAGAGAGAGAGGGAGACACAGAATCGGAAACAGGCTCCAGGCTCTGAGCCATCAGCCCAGAGCCCGACGCGGGGCTCGAACTCACGGACCGCGAGATCGTGACCTGGCTGAAATCGGACGCTTAACCGACTGCGCCACCCAGGCGCCCCGGTGTCTATTCTTCTTAAAATGCAGCCAGTTTGGGGGCGCCTGGGTGGCGCAGTCGGTTAAGCGTCCGACTTCAGCTCAGGTCATGATCTCGCGGTCCATGAGTTCGAGCCCCGCGTCGGGCTCTGTGCTGAAGGCTCAGAGCCTGGAGCCTGTTTCAGTCTGTGTCTCCCTCTCTCTCTGACTCTCCCCCGTTCATGCTCTGTCTCTCCCTGTCTCAAAAATAAATAAAATGTTTAAAAAAATTAAAAAAAAATGCAGCCAGTTTGAATAGGGTAGGACCCCACCTTAGTGACTTCATTTAACCTTAGTGACCTCTTTAAAAGTAGTCGCTTAGGGGGGCGCCTGGGTGGCGCAGTCGGTTAAGCGTCCGACTTCAACCAGGTCACGATCTCACGGTCCGTGAGTTCGAGCCCTCGTCGGGCTCTGGGCTGATGGCTCAGAGCCTGGAGCCTGTTTCCGATTCTGTGTCTCCCTCTCTCTCTGCCCCTCGCCCGTTCATGCTCTGTCTCTCTCTGTCCCAAAAATAAATAAACGTTGAAAAAAAAAATTAAAAAAAAAAAAAAGTAGTCGCTTAGGGGTTAGGGCTCCAACATATGAAAAGTATTCTATTAATGTTTTAGTGGTAATAGAAGGCAAAGGAGTTACTAAAGTTAGATGATAGACAAAGACCATTCAACTATTTGAAAGTATCTTCCAGTTGCCAGTGGCTCACAATAACTTCTAAAAGTGACTTTTATGAAAATGCAATTTCCAAAAGGTGCATTTAGTGGTATTTACCTACAGTATCAACTGTTAATGCATTGTTTCTTTTTGTTTGTTTGTTTAAATTTACATATTTATTTTGAAAGAGACAGAGACAGTGCACATGGAGGAGGGGCATAGAGAGAAGGAGAGAGAGAGAATCCCAAGCAGGCTCCACATGGACAGCATGGGGAGTTGTGGGGTTCAAACTCACAAACTGTGAGATCATGACCTGAGCTGAAACCAAGACTTGGATGCGTAGCTGACTGAGCCACCCAGGTGCCCTTGTAAATGCATTATTTCTAAGAACTACTTAAAGAAAACAGGGTGCCTAGGTGGCTCAGTCACTTAAGTGTATGACTTCAGCTCACATCAATGATCTCATGGTTTGTGAGTTTGAGCCCTGCATCAGGCTCTGCCCTGATGGTGCGGAGCCTGCTTGGAATTCTGTCTCCCTCTCTCTATGCCCCCCCCCCCTGCAAAAGAAATAAACTTTAAAAAATTCAAATACTTAAGAAAATAA